TTTTTAATACTTAATGGGTCTTAAACCTTGTGTCTTTCAGTATTTATGGCAGTTGGAGCTTCAATCGCTGTTCGCTTAGGAACCCACCCTGACTGGCTCTTTTTCTGCTCCTTCATTGGAATGTTCATGTTTTATTGTGCTCATTGGCAAACTTACGTTTCAGGCGTGTTGAGGTTTGGAAAGTAAGTACGCTTTGTCATTCTGAAAATTTAAAAAATGTAGTTGAATTTATTTTCACACTGTTATACTTCGGTAATCCATAAACAGGAGACAAAGCTGAAATCAGTAATTTATCTTTTAATTGATTGTAGCATCCATAACTGCCGTTTTTTCCTCCCCATCCCAACTTACTAGCCCGGGCTTACAATAGTCATGGGAAAGAGAAAAACAAGGGACCTGAATTATGTAGAAAACAGGTATGTAGTACTTAAATAAGCAGCAGTTGACTTGTTTAATAAAATAATGTGATATGGCATCTAAAGGCCTGTTTTGGGGAACATCTTATGTGCAACAAAAAGGGGATCCCCTTGACAACAGTTCCCACAGCAGGTAGTTATGAGAACTGTCAGCTGTGGAAGACAACTGCTGAGATCATGTGGAAGCACCTTGTTATGCTGCAGCTGAACATGAGGTGGTTATGTCTGTGGTGCCTCATGCTTAGATTGTTGTATGCCGTCGAGTTGATTTCAACTCACAGTGACCCTGTGTGACCTACAACTCGTCCGCGGGGTTTTCTAGGCTGTAATGTCTACAGCAGCAGATCACCAGGTCTTTTCTCCTTGGGAGCTGCTGCTGGGTTCACACAACTCACCTTTAGGTTAGCAGTAGAGCACTTAAACCATTGTGTCACCAGGTCCCCACTTTCTTAGATGCCAAACCCAAAACACCAAACCATTTGATTCTGACTCATAGCCACCCCCATAGGGTTTCCCAAAATGTAAATGTTTATGGAAGCAGACTGCTTCATCTTTCTCCCACAGAGCAGCTGGTGGGTTCAAACCGGCAACCTCTTGGTTAGCAGCCCAGTGCCTTGGCCACAGCAGTACCTGAGCTCCTTTTTCTTAGACATCAGGAAATAGTACACAATGCAGCACTGTCCTCTATTCCTCTTCCCCTGTAGCTTCTTCTGTGCCTGTCTTTCTGCCATTTGCTCATTCTCAGCTTTGCCTTCCTATGTGTAATTCATTTTAACCTACTTTATTGGTGCATAGGAGAAACAGTAGTGCTGGGAAAAAAATCTCTGGTAATAATAAACACCAGGGCAAGCTCAAAACTAGGGATACTGAAGAAATCCTAAAAATGTAGACTGAATTACTTTAGGGAAGCTTTTATGAAAAAATGGGAGTATTCAGGTGGTTCTTGATATATTGGTCGAGCCAAGGATCAAAACTGATTATCGAAAAGTTCAAGGCAGGCTCTGCTAGTGTAGTGCCTAAGGCACTTGATTGCTAACCAGAAGGCTGGCAGTGCAAACCCACCAGCCACTGCTCGGAAGGAAGGTTGGGCAATCTACTTCCGTAGTGATACTGAAACCCAAGGAGGGGTCGCTATGAGTCGGGTCTGACTCCACGGCACGTAACAACAACAACATCCCTATTTATAGATTAAGATATGCTGAAGTGAAAAACTAGATTTACAAAGTCTAATGTATTTTAATTTGCTGGACTTGCTGTAGTAAACTGGAATAATATAATGAAGTTTTCTGGTTTCTTTTATTTAATAATTAACATTCTACCTTTTTAGCTTTTAATATCATTATAAATCCTTGTGAAATGAATTTGTTCACATCTGGTGGAATTGTAGATTTGACATTGATTTGCTTTTTATTGAGAGCCTAATAGCTGCTCAGAACTGGGGGATACAAAGGTGAGTCATCTGCAAGTAGGAATATGCCAGGCAGATTGCAGAAAAAGCATTCCAGGCAGAAGCGTAAGGACAGCACTGCTGACACTGGGGGAATGGCTGTTGTGGTTGGACACCGGGCATATTGGAGCATGGAGGAGATCCTGCAGTGCCCCAGGGGGGCAGCCATTTAAAGTACTACCTCTGTATGGCAGATGTCCTGAGCAGCAAAATTTATACTTTCCACTTTTCCAAAGTAAAGATATCATAGAAGATTGAGTAAGATAGGTGGATGGTTCACTTAACACTACAACACTACAAGAAGGATCTATATTGTAGGACATCAACTGAGCCTTTGGAAATACCTACAAATTGGAAGAGTGTCGCAGATGGGCTTCCTGAAAATCTGTTAAATTTTTTGAGGTTTAACATTTAAAATATTCAAGGATTGGAATACAGATGTATGAAACCTTGCTCAACAGTCTTAAGATATACTGTGGAAATTTGTTTTATGAAAGATGCTTGGTCTAAGCCTGTTCTAGGAGCTCTGGTGGTACTGTGGTTAAGGCACTGGGAAGCTAACCCAAAGGCAGAAAGTTCAAACCCACCAGCTGCTCCACAGGAGGAAGATGAGGCAATCTATTTCTCTAAGGATTTACAGCCTTCGAAACGTGATTGGGGTCTCTATGGGTCAGAATCAACTCGATGGCAACGGGTTTGTTCTTTTTTAGTTTAAGTCTGTTTACTTGGTTTTCCTCTTTTCTGAAAAACACTGAAGAGAAAATATGCCAAATGAGTTTGCTTAGTTAGGCTACAGATTTTACATAAGGTTTTAGTTATACTACTATATTTCTGCTTCTTAAATTTTTCTCTAGTTTTCAAAGCCCTTTGCATTCATGTAGTAGTCAGTATTGATTCTGCTTTAAGCCTAATTAATTAAAAATCATAGGCTCTGGAATCAGACTGGATAGAATCAAATTCTGGCTCCAACATACGAGGTGTGTGACTTTATTTATTTAACCTTATTTTGTTCAATTTCTTCATCTGTAAGCCAGAACATATATAAGGCAGAAACTTGTCAGAGAAGGAAAACTCAAATATTTCCCACTAAGTAAGAGTGAAAGGAAAGTGCTAAGATTGTACCCTTTTAAAGGCAGAAAACTTGTGAGACCAGGAAAACAAGGCAGTGCCATCAAGTTCTGGCTCTCACAGCCTTCGCTGTTATTTGATATAATTGTCTCAAAGAGTTTCTGTAAAGATTAAGTAATACTGTATGTTGTAAAGGACTTAGTACAGAATTTGGAGCATAGAATACTCAATAAAGTTCTTTTATGCCATCTATTTTTATTTCAATTCAATTTCTTATCTGTTTACTTTCTCTAAGTGATAATAAAAAGTTACTAAAAATGGAAAAATACGTGTCTTATATATTATTAATCAGTAAGAGTTATTGATAGTAAGCAGTTTCCCAAGAAAATAAGCATACAGAAGAAACTGAGTATGAATAAATGTGAAGATAGACGGTCAACAATAACTTAAGTGATTTTATTGAATACTCATACAGTATTTATACAGGACATTTGAATACTTTAGAAATATTTATTCAGGTATTTATTGAGCATTCAGTATATGCTAGGCTCTGTTCTAGGTGCTAAGGTGACAAGGGTAAACAAAACAGATAAAGATCCTGACCTCCATTAAGCTTAAATTCTAACATGTGAACAGACAGCAAAATAAGATAAACAAGTAAAGTACCACTGCCCACAGAAGTACTACCACCACAGAAGATGGTGGTGAGTGCTGTGCACCAAGAACTGTAGTGTCTAGGAGCTTCCTCCTTACAGGCTAACAAGCAAGCCTGTTACTGTTTCATGGATGCTGGCAGAAGACACCTAATTCCTGGGTCGGAGGCAGAGAATGACTTCATTACTCAGGGCAAATACAGGGGGCACAGCTTCGTGTTTGTGCTAGGTCCCAAGTCTGCCAAGTCCCATGGGGGTGAGGAAGGTGGGCCTAGATGGATACCTGCACATGCAGTGGGTCGCAGTACAGGAGAGGAGCACTGAGGAATCTATTGCTTTTACAGCAAGTGGAAGCAAGCCTCCTGTCTGGGGAGAATGTTAGATCATCCTTCAAGGTTGCTCACTGCAAACACAAGCCTGATAAATGGCCTATGTAGAGTGATCAGGACCTTGCCTTCTCGGCATACCCAGCAAGAAAGTTCACGGACGTTGAAGGCCCACAGCAGATTTCCTCTCCTAATGTTACGCACACAAGGAGAAGTAAAATACTGTAAATACTATTCTAATTATGAATATAAACTACTGTCCTGTACTGCTCCATAGAACAGAGAGAGAAATGGTGTTCTATCTGACTTGAGAATATTTTAATTGTTTTATCTTTTGAAAATATGTAGATTTTGACACAAATATGAATTTATTACCTTGAATTAGATAATTTAATCCACAAAACAGTCATGGTTAAAGATTGTTTTTAGCCAATCAGTGACATACTAGTTGCTATTTTCCTTGGCCCAGTTAGTGGGAACATTTACAGGAATATAGTTAAAATCTGTCCTGTCCTTACTCTTGTCACAGGAGATAAGGCATCTTATTTATGCATGTTTGTCCTAGGTAGCCAGGGCTCTTGTGTAATTCAGTAGAGCGAACAATGCTTAAAGCTTAATTTTAAAATCTAAACCAAGCAGTTTTATCTCAAGTCCTATGTTATATTATGTGATATTTTGCTATGTACATGTAAATATTTAGATGTGTTCATTTTCCTTATAAAACATGAGGATTTCCACACAGTTTAGATCCATAGTGCAACAAGCATAGTGTTCAGTCTCTTAGAGGCAAACTTATGTAAACCAGTACTTTTCAAACTGTTGTGCAAAAGGACCAGTTTTTTTTTTTTTTCCCCAATCTAGCATGGACTGTTAACAAGCATATTTTTATTTTTAAAATAAAAAATTGACTTATAAAGTCCCCAATATTGTGTTAGATTCAACGGACACAAAATTATTGTCCAACTGCCATAAAATTTCTTAATCTGTAGATTACTAACCAACCCTGCACCATACTTTGAACAGCATTATCCGTCCTTGATGGTTGACAGTCTGGGAGTTAGGATATACACACTACATTCCCAGTATCCACCCTTCCTGTATTTTTAAAGCCCTTTTTAAATCCAGTTTTTAAAAACAGAGCTATTAATGACTAATGGGTTCCCTAAGTTTATGAATTGTTAGAGAAGTCTTTCATTTGTCTTACATACCTTTCAAACTTCAGCTGTCTCCTCATAGAGTACTTGGGGATTTGGTGAGTGAGTCCATCCTTACTCTTATCATAACCTTCAAAATGTTATAGATTTTTATTATATCCTGTCAGCTTTCTTTTTTCAGACAAAAAATTAAAATTTATTTAGTTTATCCTTAAAAGGCATAAAGTTTTATTTAAAATCTATGGAATGACATATATGTAAAACCAGGCATCCTAGTTCAGTCTCTATATATGTCACTTAGTTTCAATTAGAAAAAGTTTGTTCTATAATCCCTGTCAGTTTTCCTAATTGCTTCTGGTCATATCCTGTCAAAATTGTGGATTACTTAATGTAATTCTAATATTGTTACTGTAAAGACTGCAAAACTCTGATAATGGGTCACACATATAGTAGGGCAACTGTTGACTGTCCTTTTTCTCAACAGTATTCCAATATGAAAAAAAAAAACCAAACTAACTGCCGTCAAATCAAATCTGACTCATAGTGACCCCTCCTTGGGTTTCCACTGTAGTACTTCTACAGATTGCCCAGTCTTCCTTTCGAGGAGTGGCTGGTGGGTTGAACCACCCAGCCTTCTGGTTAACAGTCAAATGCCTTAGGCACTATGCCACCAGAGCTCCCCACACAGAATTCCAAAACCTTATTGGTGTAGTGCCTAAGACCCCAAGAAGGGGTCGTTATAAGTTGTATCGACTCAACAGCAGTGAGATTCCAATATAGGCATGGAAAATTTTATATTTCATTTGCAATGAACAGAATAATTTCTAGCTAATAAGACACATAATAGGATCTCAGTAATGTTAATATCCTTCCTTTCCCTGCACAAATTACTACACATTATATTATGTAACCTTTTTCAATTAACTTGATTCATTTCTTTATGCAGCTTAGAGGGGTTGGTTTGCCTGCCACTGATCTTGCAAATACTGGATGTATTTATTCACATTTTGGTTTTATTTTTGGTTTAACATCTTTTTCTCCTAACTACCCCTACTATATTGAGAAATCTTATTTTCCATATCTTTTAGTATCTTCTCCATACATTTTATATTTCCAAAGCAGTAAGTATTCCTCTAGCGTCTAAAGACTTCTGGGGCATCCAAACAGAGATGTAAAGTAGGTAGACAGATGTAGAGATAACAGAGCTCAGAAAAGGGAAATGTGGATTGGAGATAAGAATATAGAGGACGTTAGCATAGTAGTTTTAAGAAGAGATAAATCGGTCAGAGACTATAAAAGAAGAAGAGATGGAATTCTGGAAAGCAGTAATATTTACATTATGGAGGAAGAAGCAATCTAGGAAAGAGCCTGGGAAGAGCTTCCAGCAAGGCAGGAAAATCAGTTGAGAAAATTTAAGTGTGTTTATATATTAAAGGAGAGATGTATGTGGAAACCAAAAAACTTAGTATGGAAGACTGTTAGAATTTTCCCCACTTTTTAAGTGAAATTGACTTGGGACTGTTTAAGAATCTGCCTAAGTCCCATAGCTGTTTATATAATTTTTTCCTCATTATCAAGAGTAACATATGATTATTTAAATAAAAAATTTCAGACTGTACGTAAGTAGAAAATAAAAGCCTTCTGTAATCTCCCTGACAACTGTCAGCAGTTTGATATATGCTGCTATACAAGTTTTTCCCTATTCAAATACTAAGAAATTTACCTACATGTGAGTTTATGTTGTTTTGTAGCCTTTTCATTTAACAGTGTAGTCAGATGATAACTTAATGATAGAACAAAGGTAAAAATAAATTAATCCTATAGAGATTTCTACATCTTTGGTGTTTAACAGATAATTAACTAACCTTTCATATTCAGGAATTTTGTTCACAGACACTTTATTCTGTGTTGTTCTCTTCAGAGTGGATGTAACTGAAATTCAGGTAGCTTTAATAATCGTCTTCATGTTGTCTACATTTGGAGGAGCAACAATGTGGGACTACACGGTAAATCTGTATATTTATATTTCTTTTAAGTACTTTACAAATGTTTAGAAAAAATACTGCTAATTTTCTTTAAATCCCTTGCATTGTATTTAATATCAATCTCATTTCTTAATCTTTTTCCTTCATTTTACAATTCTGTTATCCTACATACCTCACCATGGCATTTTCCTCTATGCATTCCCCTGTATAAACCACATAGGCAAGAACAACCATATTTCCCTAATACAAAATTAAATACACTGTTGAACTACTTTTCCCAGTCCAAAAATCTGTTTCATGAAATACTTTAAAAAAATAAATCCAGGAAGGTATTTCACATTTGAAACTCTCTTTTAATATTAAAGAATATTTGCTAATCTGCATCTTTTATTAACTACTATGAGGTAAAGTTTCCCATAGTAAGGAATGTGTTTATTTTCTACTTGGTTGATAACCTTGGTATTTTGATAAAAAATTGATTCTTAGGAGGCTACTATCATAAATTCAAGCTTTGCATAGCAAGAAAATTTACAAAGAAAAAACTATTCTGTCACCACAACTTTAAATCCACAACACTGGTTAAATGACTTAACTTCATGCCCATATACTGAGAATAATAATGAGGATACTATCAATAGCCAACAAGTATTATTTATTCAACATTTATTATGTACCTGAACATTTCACTACAGCTGTTTCATCTGACCCTTAGAACAAGCCTAGGAAATAGATACTATCATTATTTATTGTTTTACAAATGAAATTAAGGCTTAGAATGGTTAAATAATTTGTCCGAGGATACATAGCTAGTAAGTATTGGAGAAGACTGATCAAGGAGATTGATTTAGCAGATTGATTCTGACTCTGTTTTTAATACTCAGTTATGTACCTCCAGTAAAAGTAAGACATTTCCCTGTAACATTTGGTATCAGGATTACCAGTTGGAATTCATTTCAGTAGGCTGAGAGAGAGACTTGGAGCATATATTTATGTAGTGGTACAGTCCCACTGAGGCCTTCTTATACCTTCTCATTATGTAACAATAAATGAAATCAAGAATATGCTATATCAGAGGAATGTTTACATGTCTTGGTAGCTATTTAGCTCGTACCCATAAGAAAGTGAATGTGGACCTGGAAGTACTTAGACAGGTCTGATCAGTAGTACATCAGACATGATAGTCAGAAATGTGGAATTATGATTTAGTTATAATGATGTAAACATTGGGGAAGAATTCTATTTATTCTTAAAATAATTTCATTAACTTTTTGGCAATACCATAGGAAGAAAGCACACCTGTTTGTTCTCACCAAATGATCCTTATTTTAAATAAAATTTTATGTTATTTTTTTAATAAAATCTTCAATACAAATTTGTTAACGTGTACTTTACAAAAATACTGGTATAATATCTCAAAGTCTAATTTCAAAAGACAATAGCCTACAGCTTCTGGCAATTCATTGTTACTTTGTTTTAAATCCTTTGCTGCCTTTGGAAGTTTTCTTGAACAGCAATTAACCAACAGGTAAATATATTCCTAGAAATTTAATCCTAAATATTAACTACACAAAATTTCTGCATGCAAACATTGTGATATTTTTCACATTTATGATGCAGATCATGGCATCTGCTTTTTCTGTATTCTGCCTTTTCAAGGCTATTAAAATGATTTATCCTTTCTCATGTTCCTTTTAAATCAAATGAAGACTTTTAAAATTAAATATTTAATTATAATTATTTAGCTGAATTTGTGGCATTCATTTTCCATTTAACAAATAAAGCCATTTCAAGAAATGTAACCATTGTAGTCAACATTTTGGAAGTTGAAGATTTAGTTACAAGAAAAAGAGCAGCTCATTGTGTATAGGATCATATCTTAATGTTTCTATACTGTTTAATAGAAATAGAAATTCTGTTTTTATAATGATTTGTTTTTTTTTCCTTTATTCCTAAAGATACCCATTCTAGAAATAAAATGGAAGATCTTTCCAGTTCTTGGAGTAGTGGGTGGAGCAATATATTCCTGTTCAAATTATTTCCATGTTATCCTCCATGGTGGTGTTGGCAAGAATGGATCCACGATAGCAGTAAGGCATTAATATTATCATCATACTAATTTATGGTAAATTTCCTTATGAACTATAAAGAGATATTGATATATGCCAAAGTTCGAATGGGGAAATGAACTAATTAAAAAAAAAAAAAATTTAGTGCCATCAAGTTGGTGACCCCTCTTTGGGTTGATGAGGTGGAGGGGAGCTCTTGTGGTGCAGTGCCTAAGGCATTTGACTGCTAACCAGAAGGGTGGTGGTTCAA